TGTGTCATTCTGAATGGATTGTGCTCAGTTACTTCAGCGCAGGACTGCGAAAATATTATTTCCAGGCAGCCCTTCCACAAGATGCTCTTCTGCTGTGGCCTGGCTCACATGTAACACAGCAGGACATTTAAAAACTGGGACTGTCGTGAACAGGGGAACGGCCTGTTACCTGTCACAAGTGGAAGCGGCTGGCCAGTTCAGGGATGCTCTGTCCCTTGATTCCTTAGGGCGATTTGCAAACCAAGAACACAGGCTTGTCAGGAGAGGGACAAAGTTGAAACCCACTGTTAGAGTTTTGGAAGGATCTTCGGAGATTCAGATTCTAGTCCCCCTGGCCCTGACACTCACTGGGTGACTTTGAATCTCAGCCTAACATACCTTACAGGGCTGTTCCGGGGACAAAATGGAGAAGGATCAGGTAAGTCATCTTACATTCCTTGCAACTGGAAGAATAGTGGGATATGAGTCTAAATACAGTAATGTATAACCCAACAAACCAGAGCACCTTACTTGCAGGTCATGATAAAACACCCATAGATGGTGCCCTGAGCTGGAGTGACTGAGCAGCCTGGGATGTTCTTTGCTTTGAACTTATCCTGTGTGAATTATTTCCCTCCCATCCGTTTTAAATCCGATGGCTTGATTTAGGCCGACAGTCTCAAAATCTGTGAACCTTAAAGCAACCTATAGACTTACCATTAAAAATACTGAGCTTAAGCCACACCAAGATGCTATTATTACGATTCCAGTATATTCTTGATGTTTTCAGTTGTATACTGAGTTTTTTAACTCTTAAGCTCTCTACACACTTATGCAATGTTCCCCTGCTGAGGTGGGCAGTAGCTACACAGAGTACTTTTGGCAGTGGTTTTAGGACTGAACTAGTAAATTTGTTTTAATCCTAACTTCACAGTCAGAGTATTGCATGCTACACTGGAGCACATGAATCTCATTTGTTTAGTAATATTCATACAGTGCCTGGACATCTCCTGAGAAAGCATTTGACTGTAGACTTTGTATAACTAGGTGCTTCCATCTGTCACTAGCTCCTCTACAGCATGGAAGGTGTTCTGTTCCAAACTGACAAGACCATCTGCAGCCAACCCGTTGCCAGAATCAACGTGGCAGCATCTCACACATTATGGATCTGGAAGACTTTGCTGTTGTTGTACGAGATAAAAGATTTCCCATGGAAACAGCACAAAGACACATGAAAGGGGGTCAAGGGAACCTCTGGTCTCTGAACGCTTTGAATGGCTTATTCAAGAACTGCAGAAGTGAGCACCGTTTCAGCAACCGCTACCACCCCCTATTCTGCCCTAGAGTTTGGGCTACACACAGTGTGGAAACGCCCTCCTTTACTAAACCCCAATATAATCAGGGGTACCCTTTGGACTCCAAGCTCCATATGGGAAGCCTTATTATTATTATTATTATTATTATTATTATTATTATTATTAGAACATTTCTATGCCGCCCCTTGCCGAACTGATATCCACATCGAATTGAACTGGTAATTGAACTGATATCCACATCTCTGCTTACCATAATGAGTGCCACATCATCTTTTCGTAAGGGTGACTAGAAGAAGCCCAATCTTTGTCTCTAGCCTGAAGTTGAGAATGGGTAGAGACTTGTGCTGTGGCTTCAGTGCAATCACAGGGAAGATGGCTTCCCTTGAACTCAGAGTTTACTTCTGAGCAGGGGCACTCTTAGATCTGGGGACTAGACTCATGGAAATCAGCATAAAATCTGCATGTATGTGCACATTTTAAAATCACTAGGATTTGTTTGTATTTTGTAGGAGGCAAAAGCAGCCAATTCATTTTTCATTCAAATTACTCACAGAAAATAAAGTTGTCAAGCAATCTGTATTCCGACCCAGTTTATCCCAGATCAATGGAAAAATTGTTTAAGCTGCGCTGCCTTGCAGGGACTTTGGGGGTGGAGAAGATTGTTGCAGGAGAGCATTAATCTTTGTTCCCCCAGCAACAGCCCTCCTTGAAAACCGCCCCCTGCATGACAATGATGCTGAGGAAAGCAGGCTTCCATTGACACCAGTGGAGTGGCACCAGAGCAGAGCACGATCCAGGTTCTGTGGAAATCAATTTAGGTCCTCAGTCTCCTGCCTAGCCACCACCCTGCTTTGGATGTAGCATGCATTAAATTGGGCTAAAGGGGAGAGGAAGGCTCCTGGGCACACATTTTTGTTTGGTTACCAAAGCCAGCCAAAATTTGTAGAACCATATGATGGAGCGAAGAATGGCATGTTCAGACACCTTCCATCCTTACGATGCCTTTCCTCCAGAGATCCAAGCCAGAAGCAACACAGCCATTCTTTATACCAGTAAATAGTGCAACAGCGGAGGAAGAAGCTGCTGTTTGAAAACTCTCACTTCTATATACCCAACTAAAGGCACTGGAAACTGGCCACATCCTCAGTCCAGCAACCTCACTGCATAGCAACTGTATGGAAGGATCACTCTCAAACTAGGATATCACAGTCCAGTGTAACACAATGGCCTCATCCACATGCCACACAAAACCAACCAAACAAGCAAGCCAGAACTCTCCTCTTCTCCTCCCACGAAGCCAGGAAATAAAACAACAGTAGCACCTAGTTAAATCTCACTTTGTTGGTGCATGGGGACCAGGGACCAAGGTGTGTAAGAAACCACAGTCAGTTTTTACCAGCTGAAATTGAACTTGAAAATTTCCAGAGTTTGGTACCAATTTGTTTGAAGCTTCTATTGACTCCTTTATTTGTTCTGCATTTAGATTGTCCTCTGATAAAAATTCTCTGGACCTCGCAGCACAAGTAAACTTTAAAGAATAAGCAATCCTTTGTTTGCAAGGAGCAACTAACTGTGATTTAATGAAAAAGAAAAGATATTCTGTCAAAGCCCTCCTCTTCCTGTCACAGGGCAGTAGGAGTGCAGGTTCATGAAAAGCATGCTAGGTGTGACCTTCTCCAACCTGGTATCTCTGCATGCTCTGGATAATGAAAGCCAGTGCTTTTTTTGGTCACAGAATGCACCGGAACGGAGTTCCGGCACCTTTTTTTCGACAGATTTTCCAAGTTTTAAAAGTAACTGTTGAAAATTTGATGTTTGGTCCATGTGGATTTGAATCGCCCTGTCGAGCGTAGCAGGTCGGCGGCAAAATCATTAAAATGGTGCATGCGGGCTGCTTGCGTGTCGAGTCCGATGCGTGCGTACTTCGTCCACGCTGGTTGTGATGGTGCTGCTTGGCTTGTGAGTGGTTGTGCGGTTGCGCGCTGAGTGCTTTCTGAGGGTGGCGACTGTTATGTTTCGTTACACAACTGACGTGGTGTGGGTGTGTGTACAGTGATTGACTACGTGCGAAAGGTAAATAATTTCATGAGTTCCGGCACCTTTTTTCTTACAAAAAAAGCACTGACAGCCAATATTCCTAACTGATGGCCATGCTGGCTTTGGCTGATGGGAGTTGAGGGTACTGCAGGGCACTCGGTTGGGGAAGACTGGTTTACGGTGATGCATAAATGCAGTTGATGAGTAGCCAGTGCACCTCCATGGTCATAAGCCCCTTACCGCTGAGCAGGCACGGGTTACACAATCAGCCCTACAATCTCTCTCTTACTCAACAATGGCATACAGAACACCTTTTAATGTCTCAGTGAAGGAGGCCCTTGGTTTCCTTATTTCTTCATCCTTTGGAACTCTCCGCCTTAGATACACATTCACATAACACATCGTCCCAGGGTCCAAGGCAAAATAGTGCTTTCCAGGTACTAACCAAACAACAGATCAAAGTATCAGCACAGATTTGCTATGGTCAACATCAAAGTTTCTGGAAGCAAGGAGGCTGTGGCCTCCTCATGCAGATACTATGCCCAGCAAAACCTCTGAATGGCTTTGTTGCTGCTGATCAGGTGTTTATGCTAACTAAATAAATCTGACATCTTTCCAGGGGTTCTAAAACCGGGAAATTTTGAAGTAGCTGCTTTGCTTTTGTGTGGCTATTAAAATCTCTGGCTGTCACTAGCTGCAACTAATTAAAAAACAGGAGTTACACATTTTGCACTAACTGAACAGGCGGTTGTACAATATGCACTTACATACAGCCTGTTTCTACCTTAGTCAAGGATAATTTAATTCCTCTAACCTGAGTGTATTCATATTTCTTCAACACTGCTTTGATATTGGAAATATACTCCCCAGAGGAAAAAACCACTTCTACCACAGTGTCTCAATGCTTGAACCTCTTCCCACTCCCCACTGAATGGTCTCACAATATTTATTTTTCCTGCAAGGAATGCAAGGCTGCTGATGTTGTCTTCCTGTGTCTCCCCATTTTGCCTTTGTAACAACCCTGCAAAAGTTAGGTTAGGCCAAAAGTCTGAAACTGACCCAAACTCAGCCAGTGAGCATCAGGGCTGAACGGAGGCTTGAACCCAGGCCCAGGGCATTCCTGTTACCACTTTGCCACTCCTCCCCTCGTTTTGCCATCTCAACAACCTGCAAGGTTATTCTGAGGTCAACGACCAACCTAAAGTCACCCAGCGAGTTTGATGGCCCAGTAAGGACCAGAAGCTGGATTTCTCAGGGGCCCATCCAAAACTCTAATTATGACTCTGCACTGATTCTCCCCAAACTCCCGGGTTACTCTCACAACAACCCTGTGAAGTAGGTTAGGCTGAGCGTCAGCGACCGCCCAGTTCATCCAGTGAGCCTTTGGGCCGAGTTGGGAACAGATCTCCGGCGTCCCAGGCCAGCGCTCCCACCGCTACGCTCCTGCCCGCCTATCCCCATAATATCGTCCACAATCAGTCCCTAGGCCCCGTGTTCTTTCTGCCAGTGCAGTGAGCCGCCTATTCCGGCCCCCCAGGACCCAGCGGTCCATGCGAATAAATATCCGGACGGAAACAACTTCCCCACCCAAGCGTTCCGCGCTCCCCTTTATGCTTGCCGGAGTACGGTATCACTCGCCCGCCGAGAGGGCGCGCGAGAGAGATCTACCTTCGCGGAAGACGCCCAGAGTCCTGTCCCGGGCCTTCAGGAGCGCGCCCCGCTTTTCCTCAGCCATGGCGAGTCTGTGCAAGGCCACCCTTGGTAAAGTGGAAAAAGCCAACCGGGAGGAACCTCCGCCCGCTCCGCTTGGCACGGAAAGAAGCGAACCCCGGAGCTTGGGAGGGAGGGGGCGTGGTTTCCGGAAAGGGGGCGTGGTCCGAAGGGAAAGAGTCGGCGTGAGAACCTGAACGATATGCCTCGTACGCTAAGGGAAGCCCGGCCGTGCGCGGCGCAAGTCGCCTGTTCGCCCAGCGTGGGAACTGCTGCGCCTAAATCCTAGATTTGCTTGGGCTGTGGTCACCCAGAGTGACAAGGATGCTCTGCCCAAGCTCAGAGGCACTGTTTGACTTCTGCATCATTCTTGAACCTAGATCCGATCAATGAGTTGAAAAAAAAAAAAAAAACACCAGTTTTCTTTGCCCTCGTTTTACATAAAACTGGAATTTTCTTTTTACATGAGGATGTCAAACCGCAATCCCAAACACAGTTACGTGGTAGTAAACCCTATTGAACGAAACAGGACCTCCTTGTGAATAGACCACGGGTAAGACTACACTCTGAAAAATCCTGGCAACACTATGATCAGCTTGCAGGATCCCGGCTGATGGGGAAGAGGCCAGGGAAAGGATAAAAGGGCGAAGAGAGATCTGTGATTTGGAGCTCAAACCTGCAGCAAATCCTACAGCTCTAGTTGGATTGTACCCTAGCAGAGTGCAGCCTGCAGTGTTGGAAGTTGGGTTGTACCTGTATACATTTTTCCCCCATCACAATCAAACATATTTTCAACGTGGCTTGCATCATTAGAAAAACAACCAAACAAGCAATCTTGTCCTTGGGTTCTATATTTTAAAATTAGAGCAAAGAGAGCTCAAATCTTTTGCTGTGGATTCATTGGCACAGACAAATGTGTGCATTTAGTAGTGTAATCCTATGCCCACTCAGAAGTAAAACCCATGCCATTTACTGGGACTTCTTCTTCTTCTTCTTCTTCTTCTTCTTCTTCTTCTTATTATTATTATTATTATTATTATTATAACATTTCTATGCCGCCCCTTGCCGAAGCCTCGGGGCGGCTTACAACACAATAAAATACATTGAAATACAATAGAACATAATAAATTACCACTCTCCCAGGTACAAGGATTATAGCCTGAAAGCATTTTTTTAATCTGTTGGTTTGCTTTTATTGTTTGCTAATCTGTGTTCTTCTTACCTGTTCTGAAATTCTGGAGAGTGAACGTTTATAGAAGTCACTGAAATAAGTAATATCTCTCCCCCGCCCCCAGAATCTAGTCTGTAAGCACGTCTGTAATTTGCTTAGCCAAGCGATGCTAACACTGTAGACTTCTGTCTACTCAGAAGTAAGTCCCATTGTTTTCAGTGTTTGCAGGTAAGTGCTTAGAATAGAATTGTGGGTCTAAGGGCACTTTTCAATTCTTATTCACCTATTTCCTTCACCCTAATTCCTCCCAATGTACCGACTTAGAATTGTTGAAATGTTTCTTAGAAAGAAAGAGAAACAATAACAGGGTTTTAAGCCTAGAAAAACACATCCTCTCTACTCTAGAGCTCTTTCAATCTTTAATGACTACTCATAGACAAAAAGACAAATTCTGTTGTGCTTGGCAACACAAAATCAAAATGGAAGCGATTGAGATTTTAACCTCACACAGACAGGAAGAACAGATAATAGGGCAGAAACAATGATGGGTTTTGAAAGGATTTATGATGGCATGTCTGCTTTTTCTGTGGGTGGAATGGAGCCCACTTTGTCAGATGCAACAAGTGTTATCTTCAGTTGACAAACACACAACTCCCACAGAATGCTACCTGCAATGCGAGAGAGATGCAAACTTAAGCCAAAAAGAGCATGGAACAGAAGAGTCCTAAAGAAGCCCTGTTCAGGAGCAGGGCCAACGTTAGGGCTGGAGTCCTGGGATTTCCTATTTGCAGCTCTGAATTTCCAGGAGACGCTCTGTTCCACCACCCTGGCTCTCTGGGAATGGGTCCCTACCAAAGCACAGGGCCCTTGAACATCTCTGTTGCAGATCCAGCTTGAAGCCCACCCCCATGGGCTTCACCCCCTGCTGCCCACCCCAGAATCTTTCTGCCTGGAACCCAGCGTGCCCTTCTCCCAGCCCTGGGTCCTTTTTTTACAAATAAGGTGTCCTTAGGAGACAGACACTTTTAAAGATGGACTGGGAGAGGGACACACTGGGTTTCAGAAATGCACGCACACCTACCCTACACAGGCATCAGAGGCGATGCAGATTTGCATATGCAAATACGTACTGCCTTTTCACCCTGGGGGCCAGCTGGAAATGGGTGCCAATGTCCTTAAGCACCAGACAAGTGCCTCCCAGTGACAGAATCTTGGTTTTCAGTTTGCAAGGAAATGAACACTCCCGTCTGGTCTGCGGGGAAGATCAAACGTTTGAACCTCTGCTGCTTTATTGACTGGTGCCCCAGTACCTGCAGCCACTAACCATAATGCATTACCAGGCAGAGGTAAACTCAACTGCAAAATCAACACCCATGTACAGACACTTGAATAACCTGCTAGTCAATACAGTGTTAAGTTTCCAGAGAATGTTGGTACAATAGCATCTTGATGTCTTTAGGCATGACATAATGTTCCAAACTGATCAGAAATTCTGGTAACAATAGTATGGGAAGCATTACTGATTGCTGTATTGATAGGTCAGTCTCCAAATGCTTGACAGCTCAGGTCAGCCATGGCAATCGTGCAAATGTGTCTGATGGAGGAGCCATTCAGGAAATCCGGTATGACAGCCACACTCCACATGGGCTTGCCTCTGAGGGACTAGCTGCTTAGGTGGGTCCCTTCAGAAACCAATAGATACCATTGTTTCAGTTTTTCTGCGGCTGATGAGAACACAGGTATTTCCTCACTGATCTTGTCAGCTTCCAAGAGCTTCTCAGTCTAGTGAAGAATGCCATCCTCTGAAGACAACGACAACACTAAACAGTCTCCTGGCTGGGAATTCTGCTTTCTGCAGCAGGAAGAGGTGCAAGTTTGATTTTGTAACACAAAGGCTCATATAAGCACTCTTTTCCTGCCAGGATTTATCTGAATTTTCCCAACATCTGCACCCATTGCAACCTGCCGGTTCGCCTGCCTCTCGCTCTTGGCCAGGGATGGTGGTGGGGAGGAACGGAAGCAGGAGATGCCGGGCCTCCTTGCTCCCCGGCCTGCAGCAAGCCCGTGGCAGCAATGGCAAGAAAAAGAGGCAGAAGCTCCTGGTGAAAATGGCAGTGAGGAGGGCAGCTGGCAGAGACAGGCATCTGGGCTGGGGCTGCGTCTGGAGGGCCTGCCAAACCCGGGTGGTTGGGAGGGAATGCGGGAGGGGGGATGGTGGGCGCTGTGGGAGAACACTGGCTCTGTATGTGTCGAGAGAGAATGGACACAGGGACGCTGGATGTTGGCACTCGAAGAACACGACAGTTTATCCAGACCTACAAGAAAGAAATACATGCGGCGTGTAGGTGGCCCCAGAAGGACTATCTTGGAGGATTCTGGGAAGGACGCTTTTATAAAATGTTTGGCAGGTGCACAGTTTGCCAAGGAGCACCGGAGAGTGGAAGCAGAGGGTTGAATGGAGTAAGTCAAGGGAAAAAAGCAGAAGAGCAGACGTACATTCGAGTATCTAAGGAACGAGACTTCCGTGACAGGAACACAGGTGGAATGGGTTCAGATTCGGGTGAAGGAGAGAGAGCCGGAATAGCTGCCTTTTGATTGGCTGCTAGACCCCAGCTAGCCCTGGGGCTACCCTGTCTGCAAACATCCATCTGTCTGTCTCCTTTGCCCACATGCTCACACACCGAGTAAATGAATCACACAGAACGGCTCAGTTCAGCATTGCACAGTATCTTCCCTCTACAGAGAAGCCACTGTATTCAGGGCAGGATCACTGTGGAAGCTTTTTAAACAGTGGTACGGAGACCAGATGTGGGATCTCGATCCAGCCTTTAAGTTCCCACAACGGCCACATGCCTTCCCTTCACCCCTACCAACCACCAGCTGTTTGCAAATTTCCTCACCTTTCCCCTTTTTTGACCTGTTGAATTACCTCTGCTAAGGCTTTGCTCTGAGCCACAAGAGCTTTAACCTGAAGCTGCAAGAGCTTGTAGCTTTACACTTTACATATTTGGTTCCACACCTTTTGCCTTTGGCTCCACCCACTGCTGAAATGCAGCCCCCAAGAGCTGCTTTGAAATGGGATGCGGCCCTCAGAAGGAAGGGGATTCAGCACCCCGCTTCAGAGCATGGAGCTGAGATCGCCAGCTTCCCTGCCTGCTGAAGAGAACCTCTGCTGGAAAGGATCCTGGACTCTTGCTGCTCTGCTGCCTCTCTGCTTTCCTTACTGCCTTTCATCTGACTGGTAACATCCTTTGGGACAGCATCTTATTGGGCTGCTTCTGCTTCTGAAGGTTTTATGGGAGTGTAACAGCCACACTTTGTGCAAAGTAGGTCTCATGCTAGGCTTGGCATGGCTTGAGCGTCTACAATTAGCTATAGACGGCTCATTAAGCCAAAGAATCTACTTTCGCAACTGACTGCAATGCAAACCAGCTACCAGCCAGATTAAGGTCTGAGGACCAAGCTGGGGGAGGCGTGGATGGGAGGCTGTCTTTCACTTGCCCACATTTTTAACGGTGGCCACAGGGTGTGGTGGGATCCGGGAGAAGGATGGGGCAAACAGAGAGAAAGGGTTACTCCTTCTGCTTCATACCCTGGTCCTAATTCACACACCCCTCCATAGCTGTGAGAGAAAGCTGCTAAAAAGAAAAAAATCTATCTATCTATCTATCTATCTCAGAGGCATGTACATCAGTTCCGAGGTCTGTGGGTGGGAAGGGACGGTCGGACTTGGCATCCTGCTTGTGAGTTTCCCATGAACAGCTGTTTGGCTGCTGTGTGGACAGAATGCTGGACAGGACGGACTGTTCTTATGAGGCAGTCCATCATCTCCTCCACCACCACCACCACCACCACCACCATCATCATCATCATCATCCATGCCCATAACATCCCATAGCTACAGCAGTCTGGGCACATGGGCCA